CAACTGATCTGGCACATGTCTATGTGCTATAGATCCAAACACCTTCAAGTGACTGAGACTAGGCTTGACACCAGACCAACATTCTTCTGGCGTGATTCCTTCAAGCTTCTTTGTCGGACATCTGTTCAATATAAATGTTGCTGTCGAAACTACTTCTCCCCATAATTCTTTAGGTAGATGCTTTCCATTCAACATACTTCTCACCATATTCATGATGGTTCTGTTCTTGCGCTCTGCAATCCCACTTTGCTGTGGAGTGTAAGGTGGCACCACCTCATGCACAATCCCTTCTTTTACACATAGTGTATCAAACTCTTTTGACACATACTCTCCACCACCATCAGTCCTCAGAATTTTCAGCTTTCAACCATTCTGCCTTTCGACCATGGACTTGAATCTGGAAAATACCTCAATCACATCACTTTTCTTCTTGATGAGGTAAGTCCACAGCTTTCGACTGTAATCACCTATAAATGTGACAAAGTATCTATTGCCACCAATCGAATCCACCTGGATTGGACCACATACATCAGAGTATATGACTTCAAGTATTGCCTTCGACTTCCTTCCTGCATCCTTGCTGAAGCTATTCTTGTGTTGTTTCGACTGAACACACTCCTCACAGACTTCACTTGGAATGTCGATTTCTGGTAATCCTGAAACCATATTTCTTCTCTTCAGTTCTCTGATGTCTTTAAAGTTGAGATGACCTAGTCGAAAATTCCATAACCACTCATCTCTCCTGGCTGCAGTTGCTAGACATTTGTGCTCCATCACATTGAGTCCAATCTTGAAGGTCCTATTCTGAGACATTGGAGCCTTCAAGATTAATCTACCACCTGCGTCGAGAACTCTCACCATCTTGTCTTCGACAACTACCTTGTAGTTCTTTTCGACAAGCTGCCCTATGCTGAGCAAATTACTCCTCATGCCTGGTATGTACAACACATTGGAAATTGTTGACCTTTTGCCATCTTTCCTCATAATCAGAACATCACCAACACCTTCGGCTGCTAGAGTGTTGTCATTTGCAAACTTCACGGTGTTCTTCGACGAGGGCTTCATGTTGACAAACCAATCTTTTCTTCCAGTCATGTGTGACGAGCATCCTGAGTCCAAGTACCACTGATCTTGGAATCTTTCTTCATCTTTTGTTGTGACCATTAGCAACGTTTCTTCTTCTTCATGTTTCGCCAGCTTTGCATCAGTCTCTTGATTTCTCTTCCTTTCTGGATAATCACTAGCATAATGACCATACTTCTGGAAATTGAAACACTGAATGTGGCTTTTGTCTGGCTTTCGACCGCCACCTCTTCCTTTACCTACAGCACCACCTCTTTGGTTGCCTTGGTTCTAATGTTTCTTCTGATTCGACTGGTTTCCTCCTTTGTTGCCATTCCAGCTACCTTTGCCTTTTCTTTCCTTTTCTGACTGTGCCTGCAAAGCCATGTCTTTCGACTTTCCTGCAGCTCTTTCAGCCATCCTCTGTTCATGAGACTCAAGAGTCCCTTGAAGCTCTTCCTTTGTCAACACTGATAGATCTTTCGACTCTTCTATGGCAACTACCACGTGGTCGAATTTTGGAGCCAACGATCTCAAAATCTTTGAGACAACTGCTTTCGTCGTTAGCGCTTCTCCACATACTTTGATTTGATTCACCAACTTCGTAACTCTGGTGAAGAAATCTGTAATACTTTCGTTGTCTTCCATCTGAAGCAACTCATAGGTTCTCTTGTGAGTTTGTAACCTCACCTATTTCACCTTCTTTGCGCCTCCAAACGACTTTCCAAGAATCTCCCAAGCTTCTTTTGCTGAATCAACATCACTAACCTTTTCAAAGTTATCAGGATCGACACATTGATGAATTATAAAGAGTGCTTTATAATCCTTCTTCTTCAATTCTTTGTGTGCAGCCTTTTCCGCCTCCGTTGCGTTCTCCCGAAGCAATGTCACTCCGTCCTTCACAAGATCCCAAAGATCTTGATAACAGAAAATCACCTTAATCTGCTTGAACGAATTCTCATAATTGTCTTTCTTGAGAATTGGCAGGGTGGCCGGAAAGTTGCCGTTCGGATAATTCATCGCTATCACTATCTTCCTTCCTTGAATCTCTCAATCGGAGCTCTAGATACCAGATGTTGGAAATTCACCTCACACCCTATGAAGAATTCCCTTCAATCTTAATCTCAAGATTGATGAACAAACCCACAATATGATAGTAATGGTAATAACAAGTAATTATCAAGAACAACAAAAGAAAAGAAGAACGCACAAGAAAGAGAAGAATGAGAGAAGAAAATATTTGGAGAGAATGTGTTACCCACAACTGTGGGATTTCTTATTGCTTATAGAACTTTCACTTGCTAAACACTGCAACTGTGAAATTTGTTCTATGTGTTGTTGTGTTTGAATACAAAGCAAGACACCATATTTATAGTTTTAGGTTTACACAAGCCCAAAACATAAAAGGCCCAAAATATTCAAATCAAATCTAATCATATCAAATCAAAACAATGAATTACATTTAACAAAGAGGGGTTTTGTTTGTGCCATCAATATTGCCTAATTCAATGTTATATGAACAACCTACTGATCCCAAATTGTATACTAAGATTGTCAACCAAATTGACTATTATTTCAGGTAATGTTAAACATCGGTCTACATCAATTTTCATTTTATTCTTTTATTATGATTTTTAACTCTTTTAAAAAGTTGACCCTTTTGTTTGCCACAATTTGTCTAATTTGTCTTTTGCAGTGATCATAATTTAATCAATAATATAGGCTGGTGAAGGGGAAAGGATCTCTGGTGGATCAAGAATCATCGGAGTTGATTTAGTTTCCAACTGATTTAAATTAGGTACAATGTTTTTAACTTCAAAATTTACATTTAAATTTTTACAATATTGTTAGAAGGGTCGTATTATCAAATTGCTTTGATTATCATGTAATAATAATCTTTAATTACAACTTTATTTCATTGTTTGTATTTAAACTTTATTAATTATTATCTAATTTCAATTTCATCTCATATGGTCTTTGATTGTTAAAAAGTTGTCGGGAAGAAGAAACCATGAGATAAAGAACTATTGGCATATCTACCTAAAATTGATTATTCGAATTAAAATTCATGAGGGTAGAGATTTGAATTTTCCTTTCTAGTTCATTTCAATTCATTTCAATTAGGCAAGAGTATTTTTTTTAATGTTCTTTGGAAAACATAAGTACTTTATGGTTCTGGCCTTGGTGAAGGAACACTTGTAGCAAAATGTTTTACATGAAACATTGGCAGTAACTAAATGTTTATCTAATTCTATTTACAGATCTAAAACCTACTCTCAAATTGCTTTGGTTATCAAAGATGAAGTAGAAGACCTTGAAAAAAGTGGTGTTGGTGCTATCCAAATTGATGAGGCTGTCTTTAGAGAGGGACTTCCATTGATATAAGATTTTCAATTTATGAAAGAGGTCAAGAAGATTAAAACAAATTGAATTTATACTACCAAGTCGGAAATATCAATTCAATCTATGCCACCACTCTTTTTACCCCAATCAATTTTAAAGAAGAAAATAAGACTTCAAAAAGGATGTAATAATGCTTATGTGCATATTGTGTAGTTGTATCTGTGTATATCTTATTTTATTTTGAAACATATTTAATGTCATTTTAGTTTAATGACTAATTTGAATAAAAGAATGTAACAAAATTCTAATTCAATGCAATTAAATTCAACATTATGTTGATATAAAATTTTGGTATGGTATATAATATATTATGGTCTGATAAAATGTTACGAAATTTTATTCTAGTCAATTTAATCACAATTTGATTATTGTTCAAGGGAAATTTTACCCCATATTCCTACACTTATACCCACACCCCTACACTAAAAAATATTGGACCAAAATATCCTTGTTTAAATACTTATAATTTTAAAAAAATTTCACTTTCAGTTCATTTGGATTTCAACACTTCCGGAGCTCTCTTTTTTCTACTACAAACCGGAACTCTTCCAACAAGTCATCCGGAACATATTTTTTGATCAACACATACCGAAACTCCAAGAGTAAGTCTTCCGATTTGTTGATTTTTTGGTTTGTTCACCGGAAGACTTAATGTATGTCTTCCGGTTTGTAGTTTTTTTTTGTTTCTTCACCGGAAGACTTAATGCAAGTCTTCCGGTTCACAATTTTTTGCTTTTGTACACCGGAAGTCTTGGATTAAGTCTTCCGAAACACACGTTTTACGTTTTGTACACTGTAAGTCTTTGCTCAAGACTTCCGGTTCATGATTTTTTTAAAATTTTTAAATTTTAATTATATTTATTTATTTATTTTAAGTAAAAAAAGCTGACACTGTAAAAAGTAAAAAAAATAATATAATAAAAAAAATAAGGGATAAAATTGGTATTTTTTTAAAATTGTAGGGGTATAGGTATAAATGCAAGGGTATGGGGTAAAATCTTCTTGTTCAAGTTTGGTCTCTTAACTAACTATAAAGTTTTAATTTAGTCCCTTAACAAAATTGATGACTCATTATTTTTATTTTTGTCACGCTGTCATGTCACATCATTAAAACTTAACGTTTTTTTTTTAACATTTAACATAAAGGATTAATTTAAATAATAAAATAATTTTTAAACGAATAAAATGTAACATTTACTAAATAAAAAACTAAAGTGAAATCTAAATTAATTTAAAAAAATTTGAATAAAAGACTTTGTGTGATGACACTCTTTGCTAACTAAAACGTTTAATAAATAAAAGAATTTGTCAATAGTGATAACTCTAGGGGACAAAAGTGAAATTTGTCAATAGTGATAACTCTAGGGGGCAAAGTGTTATTTGCTGGTTAAATTAATTAAAACATAAAAATGTTGTGAGCGCGTAAAACTGTACAAAAGCAAAATATAGCCGTTAAACATTCAGTCATTCTGTACACAGTGAGTGTTGCTTCGTTGTTCTTGAAGAAAACGAAAACCCTAAAAAAAAAGAGCGAAATGGGGAAGACGAAGATGAACGATTCTTCAAAATCCGATTACGAAGCTCTCAGAAACGCTCGCATGTCAGAGAACAAGGTACTATCACTATCAATCAATTAATTTTTAATTATTCTTCATTATGATTAATTGATTAATTAGTAATAGTATTTTGTTGATAAATGAATGAATGAATGAATGAAGGCTAGGTTGGAATCTCTGGGTATTTTGAATTCAGTTTCGAAGCTTCGAGAAATTTCTACTCCAACCAAAAAAGAACGCTCCTGTGTCAAAAGGGTTTACGGTCTCGCTCCCCTACGCCGATCTCAGCGAATCAAGGGTGCCGCTGACGGCACCACCGTCGCCGCCGACAATCTTCCGGCACGAAGATCTTACCGTTTGAAAAGTAGTTTCAGCTACGCTGTTACCCCAAAACAAGGTAGCAAAATAAGCACTATTTTTATTAAATTTTATTTTGACTATTTTTTTTGGATTTGTTGAAAATTATGTACTTAACTAGTCTTATAATGTAATATTAGTCTTGAAATTATGATTTAGTTTAAATATAACCTACAAAAACGGTTAGTCTTTAACTAGTGTTATTGCGGGTGTTGCAATTGGGTTAATGTAGTTGCTGCATTGCCATGGCGTGAATTTTAATTAGCAGGCTGAATATGCGCATAGAAGTTGAGGCAATCCTCAACCTACAAGCCGATTTTTACGGGGATGAGTAGGCCCAACCACATTTCTTAATAAGCTGTTTGAATTACATAGTAGAGAGATACTTGAAAGTTAAGATTTTTCATTATGTCGTGCGAAAAATGAGTTTTAGAGTTGTGAAAATTTGTTATTTGGATGAAAATTGTCAAAATTGTCTTTATGTGGTTCCTAATACGGTTGCACGTGATGGGATCATTGTGATTACAGATTTAGGTGAAGAGGAGAAGAGGCCTGCTAATGCACCTTTTATTGAACTGGATCCGGAGGATGTAGAGCATTTTCTTTCAGCAGAGAATTCTGCACGGCGCTGCGGTAGCAAAGGTAGAGGCAGCGTCTACAATCCAGTCTTGGGGATATGCTGCCATTTTTGCAGGTCCATACTCTATGACCCTTTTACTGATTTTTTCCACAGATGTATAATAATATAGTTTTGTATGGTCACAATGTTTGCTTAGTTTGTTTTTGTCGATATAGAAGGACATACGTATCAATGTTGTAAAACAGCGGCTATAATTGGGCCCTAGTGTAATTGGAACAAATTGCTATTTTTCCACGATACAGGGTACGTTATTTAGGTAGTATATTCAAATAGCGGCAATAGCATTGTTGCGTAGCAAAATTTGAACATAACCGCTATTTTTTGCAAGAAGTGATTGACAACATAAATAAATATAGCGAATGCTTGTAATAAACTTTATGAGTGTTTCATTTCCTAAGAAATTAAGACAATTTATACAAAGTGATCAATTTAAGAAGCAACCAGATTGACTTAAAACAAACCAGTTATAGAGTGTGTTAAGAGAGTATAGCATTCTTTATGATTGTGTGTGCGCACGGGTGCGCGTGTCTTTTGTATTTGGTTAAGTAATGACAACATAGCAATTTTGCAAAACATCAATGCAGGCAAAAGAAGTTATGTGGGGAAGAAGATTGCAAAAGATGTGGGAATTGTGATGTGAATGAACCTTGTCTAGGTAAGATTTGAGTGATGTCTTGTTTTTTATTCTTTGCACGGGTTTTCACTATGTTCTAACTGATTCACTGCATATTCTAAACAGGAAAGACTGATTGCTCAGTGTGTCACTCGAGCCAGGGTGTCTTTTGTAGAGCCTGTCTCAAGGTTCGGTATGGTGAAGGTAGGAACAAACAGTCATGCGCAATCAAAGAGCCTATTTTGATTGAATTATTTGAACTTATATCCTGACATAAAAATTTGTGAAACTGTTCTCTAGAACAGCTTATGAAAACAACTTATATGTGAAAATAGTTTGACTTTATTATCTTTATTATAGAACTAGATTATACATAAGCTCTTATGCTATAAATAAGTAAGTTATTTTTCCAAATAGAAACCAAGTCAAATAATCAGCTTATTGAGATTGAATTTGTCATAAAAAACAGGTTATTTTTCATTATTTACTAAGTAGGGTGAGGTAAATATGATACACACAAAAATTATAAATTGTGCTTCGGTTTCGGTTGATATATTCTAGAAGAGAGGAGTACTTACTGAAAATACCTCAAATCGATAGTTTGAAACTGTTCATTGTGTTTCTGCTGTAGAAATAGAAGAAGTGAGAGAGAATAAGGAATGGATGTGTCCACATTGCATAGAAGAGAAAGGAATAAATCCTTACTGGATATGTAACAGGTATAAAGAACTATTAAAGTTCAACATTTTAAGATACTATCAATATACATTTCCTAACTCCTAAAGAGAATAGTTCTGATCTGATTCAAGATGCTGTCTCCATTTTATTTTTTTTTGCTTTAATTGATTTCTAGTTCAATATGCTTGAGGAAACGAAAGATACCGCCAACTGGGATCGCAATACACAAAGGTTAGTCTTTCTATTGTCACAACTTACTGAGTCTGTTTCGATTGACTTATTTTGATAAGCACTTGTTTTTCCTTAAAAAATGTAGTTGTGATTGCGATTGCAGCTATTATCAAGTACATTTTTCTTACTTGTTTTCTTTGATTGACTGAAATGAAGCTCGGGAAATGGGATATGAATCAGTAGCACATCTGCTAATGGAACAACTTAAAGGTAGAAACTAGAAGAAAATATGAGAGAAGGACACTTTTGAACAGCTTGTAACTTGTAGTTATTTTTGAATTTCTTATCATTTGCTAGTTAACATTGAAGCTCAAATTAGATTCGCCTTGTCCATTTATTTTCTTTACGAGGAACGATTTTCTTTGATGTATTTGTTGTAATCTGTGTTGTGTTGGATCCATCTGTTTCACATTCTAAGCTTATTTTGTAATCAGTATCTGGTTTAGTTATGAATCTGATCTGATATAAATTTCATGTTTTTAGAAAAATATTGAGTTTAACTTCACATCTTTTAGATCAAGAACATATATCTTAATAACTATTTTTATTAGAAAAAACAAAAGGACTACATGAAAGTACATGAAAATTAAGATGAGAGGGTTATTTTTTGGGTGCATGTACTCAAAATCAGTCTCGCCTTCATCACGATCTACAAAGAAATATGAACTTTTACATTTTCTGTCTTTAAAAGGAAGTGCTAAATCTGCTGATTTTGTACCATTTGAAATCAAAGAAACACTCAAACGACGACACTGCACAATCGGAGGACTAAAACGACTACTCTTGTACCAACTAAATTTAAATTTAGCTTGAAATCCAAATCAACAGCTAAATCATTGTAAATCCCTCTGCTTGCGTCTCATCGTTATACTCGTCAAGTTGTTTATGTTTGAGTTTGATCACACTCTTTCTTTCAAGGAAATTTTACCCCATACCCTTACAATTATAACCATATCCCTACAATTTTAAAAAAAAAAATACCAATTTTATCCCGGTATGTTTTTTATTAAATAATTTTCTTTTTAATTTTTACTGTCATCTGTCAGATTTTTAGAGTTTCGAAAAATTCACCCATCGAGTCTTCCGAAACACTTTTAAAATGACATCCGGTATGTTATTTTTTTGAAACCAGAAGTCTTTGGCAAAGAGTTCCGGTTTACACACAAAATATGTACCGGAAGAGTTTATCAAAGACTTCCGGTTTGCATTTTTCGTAGAATTTTTACCGGAACACTTTTCTTCAGAGTTCCGGTACTTGTAAAATGTGTACCGGAACACTTTTTACAAGTCTTCCGGTTTGGTAACTTTGGCTACCAGAACTCTTTTTTTGAGTCTTCCAGTTTGCTTTTTTTATTATTTATTTATTTATTTATTTTTTATGAAGGCACAAAAATTCCTTTACAAATCTGCGATAAAGATATGTGTAGATACGTCTGATGTTTTTTCAATTACTCAAAAATTTGGTACACGAGAAGAGGTGATAAGATGGATTAAAGAGATCGGAATCCGAAATAAAGTAACGGTTATCATCACTCGTTCAGAATTGAAACAGGCAAGAGAGGAAGAAGTAACAAATTAATATTTGGGTGTGATAAAGGTAGAAAACACAAAGAAATTGACAGTGGAACCCAGAGTGCGACGAAAAAATGTGGATGTCCATTTAGAATCAGATCAATTCCAGCGACTGATGGATCTGGATGGAAGATTGATGTAAAATGTGGAGTTCATAACCATGATTTACCTGATAAATTAGAAGGTCACGCATTTGTTGGTAGGTTGACAGCGGATCAGAAGCAACATGTTGTTGATTTGAGAAAGAGAAAGGTTCCACCTAGACATATATTGCTTTCATTGCAAGAGTTAGATCCAGATAATGTCACTCGGATCACGCAAATATACAAGCAGAAGAGTATGATAGAAAAAAAATATAAGAGGTCCTAGAAGTGAGATACAACATTTGTTTAAGCTTATTGAGGATGCAGGTTATGTTTATTGGAGTAGAAAAAGAGATGACTCTGAAATTATTTGAGATATATTTTGGGCTCATCCAGATTCAGTTAAGTTGTTGAATATTTTTCCTATTGTGTTAGTTATGGACAACACTTACAAGACAAACAAATATAGGCAACCTCTGTTTGAAATTATTGACATGACATCAACCGAGTTGACTTTTGCTATTGCATTTGCCTATATTGGGTCTGAGCAGACTGAGACTTTTTGTTGGGTGCTAGATAAGCTTAAACAATTGTTTGTGAAGAAAGATTTGTGTCCACAAGTGATTTTGACAGATAGAGATCTTGGTTTGATGAAAGTCATTGAAATTGTGTTTCCAAGGTCGATCAATTTGTTATGTCGATTTCATATTAACAAGAATGTTGGTGCAAAACGAAAACAATATGTGGCTAGTGACATGCAAAATAAAATTGACGAATTATGGACGAATGTTGTATGGGCTAGTGATGAGGTTGAGTATGATCAAAGGTTGAACCAACTTGAGCAGGCGTGTGTTGATTATAATAAATTTATTGATTACGTGAAGGACATATGGTTGATACCACATAGACAAAGATTTGTTGGAGCATGGATTAATCGAGTGCTACATTTGGGTAACACCACGACTAATCGATATGTATTTATTTTTAGTATTTCTAAATTGTATATCTTTTTTGAATTTTTTAAAAATATTTTAATATGTATTAATTTTAGGGTTGAGTCTGCTCATTGGAAGTTAAAGCAAATGTTGGGGAACAGTATTGGTGACATGGTCAAATGTTGGGAGGCTATGAATGACAACTTAAAGTTACAACTGGGCAATATTAGAGCTTCTTTTCAAAAGAGTTTTTATGAAGTTGAGCACACTTACGTAAGTTCATTTTACAATAATTTATGTGGTTCAGTGTCTCGAGATGCATTGAGACGCATTGCTGAAGAGTTAAAACGAGTTGATTATGTTGGAACTAACAAGGAAATATGTCGTTGTACTCTTAGAACAACCTACGGATTACCTTGTGCTTGTGAGTTGTCAGGATATAAAATTGATGGTATACCGATACCAATAGATGTTGTGCATGTTCATTGGAGAAAACTAAGCATGGAAGTTAAGTTGGACGAAGACGTAGATGATGGATCAGAGGTGGATATGAGTAGTGCAATAGATGAGTTATGGAAAAGGTTTAAGTCATTGGATGTTGTTGGGAAAAGGGCATTAAAAAGTAGGATTTTTGAACTTGTCTTCCCCATAATGACTTCTATGTGTCCACCACCTGAGAAAATAAAAACTAAAGGGGGAGTCAAGAAGAAAGACAAAAAACCAGTAGGGTATTATGTTTATAGAGACCCTTCATATCATGAGTATGTTGATCAAGCATCTTAATCTCCACAGAGGCAATCTCAACCATCACAAACTTCGAAGAAGTTGAAATTATCACAATCTTCACAAAAGAAATCTCAACCATCACAGGCTTCGAAGAAGTTGAAATTATCACAATCTTCACAATCATCTAAGCAGTTCATCCTTCAGTTTCCTAATCACATCAGGTCATATATTGATGATGTAGTTAATGTTGTATCAGATGGTAATTGTGGATTTAGAGTCATTGCTTCATTGCATGGATATGGTGAAGATGGTTGGCCAATGGTTCATTGAGACTTGGGGTTGGAAATAATACATAATGAAAGATTTGTATGCCAATTTATTTACTGATCAGTTAGCAGTAGTGAGATAATCTTTGATGATAGAGGAATTTGGTCCTCAACCACCACATAAATGGTTAACTCTACCAGATATGGATTACGTGGTAGTGAATCGTTGTAATGTTGTACTTATTTATTTAGGAATTGAATGCTGGACTTTCTTCCCTATGACAACTTAATTTTCACCAAATGTAGTAATTTACTGCATTGGTTTTGTAAACAGAAATCATTGGGTTCAGGTACTTAGTTATTTTTAGATAATGTGATTAAACCTAATTCTTTTTCGTTATTTTTACTTAATATTTTGACTATTTTTTTATTTAGGTAAACATGAAAGAAGGGTTTCCATTGCCACCAGTGACAATAGATTGGAAGAAGTTTCGTTCTCCAGCAGCAACATCTTGGATGCTAGGATTTGCAGGACGCCTACAACATTGGCAACAACTTACGCCTATATTACCAACGCATTATGAATTGTAAATTATGTTACTCATTTTTTTATTTCAAAACATGAATCATGAATTATGTTATTCATTTTTAATTTCAAAAAATGAATCATGAATTATTTTATTCATTTTTAATTTCAAAACATGAATCATGAATTATGTTATTCATTTTTTATTTCACGCTACAAGTTAACACATAAACATAAACCAACTAGGTCAAATGAGTCTAAAAGTTAACACATAAACATAAACCAATTAGGTCAAATGAGTCTAAAAGTTAACATATAACCATAAATATAAATATAAGTCACTGTGATCGAGCAATATGTAAAGCTTCGAACAAATCAACAAACTGGGATCTTCCTCTTCAGCACCAGCCTGTTGAAGATAACGATGAATCAATGAAGACACATGAGCCCAACTAGGATCAGATGGTCCTGCTTCATATACAAGAACTGGCATCTCTGTTGGCGCATCACAATAGGGAGGTACCAGACGAGGATGCGAAACACGGTAATACCACTGAAGATATCCATCATTTGTCTCATATGGGGTGGTGGTCGGTGCTGTCGGACGAATCACATCCTGAACGCTCTGATGGTAACTAATCCAGTCAACATCAATATCACCAGCCATCGTATAATCAAGAGGTGGATGTGGAACATACTTCCTGTATCCAAACTGACGCATACATCTGTCAGGCAAGTATGGAACAATAGTGTCACCCCACCTCAGACACCCCCTATATAAACATAACTCATCAAACTGACGCCATACTCTATGATTCTCGAATGGGCGCCATATGACATCGGCAGGTGTTAGCTCGTCCAGAATAGGTTGCAAGTCATCCACCTTCAAGGCACCTTGCCTATAGGACCATCTCATTGCTCGAGGGAGACCCACATTATTAGCTGGTATCCAATTCTCTCCTTTTTTTCCAAGTGTTGGAAAATACTCATAAATCCAGCACTGTTACAAAATTAATATTGTTACTAAATTTAAAATAATTAATTATAACTTAATAAACTAGATAAATAAAATTAATATACTAGATAAAATTAATTAAAACAAAATATACTAAA